CTCTTCGCCTAGAGAAAAAAAAAAAAATGTAGCAGAAACTCATCTGAAAAACTTTCTCATCCAAAACTAACATCACCTTAGGCACCAACATTAAAAAACCTATTTGAGATTAACCTCTTGACAGAAGTCCTGGTATCAGAAGTCTACTCCTTTTAGCCCCAAGTAGCCAAACTGGTTTTAGTGTATTTTACAGAACCATTTAAGCAGACAACGAATACTAGTAAAAGTTCTATCAAGAATCATCATTCTTGATGTTATTTCATGCTGGATTCATATTCCTGTGTCATCATCTTGCAGACAATAACAACATTTTAGCAAAGTGTATGATTTGGATCTTAAAAATACTTGCTATTTTAGCTCTTGCCTTCTTCAAGCCAACAAAAAAAATTACTTATTGATGAGACAGAATAACATGACCACTCTGACTTGCACAGGTTAGGTATACTTGTCAACAGCTTAATTTTGCTTTCTTCTTCCCACCCCCTATAGTACAGCTTACAAGAAGCAGGAAAAACATTTTCTCCTTTAGGCTTTATGCTTTCTGGGAATTCCTTTGGTTAGGGAAATCCAGGTAACAACACAAGTCATTTAACTATCCTTTGCAACTTTTGGCCATATGAAAAGAGCAGAATAGAATGCTGTAACCATGTAGTTCTTTTACTTAAAGGGACAAGACTGTATTATTCTTGATTTGTCATTTAGATACACAACAGTTCTCTGCTTAAAAACAAACAAAAAATCCCAAGCACTATTTTTGGCCACATCTCCTAGTCAACTTCTCATCTCTTCAAAAAGAAAACTGGCATGCAGTAACACTTAAAAGACACATCTGCCCCATAACAAACACTAAAACTATGCATGTACACATATGGCTATTAAAAGATTAAACAAAAAATTTGGAGTCCATTAATTCATACAAAGATACTGTTAGGTAGAGTCCCAGACTTTAACATCTGAGTAAAAGGCTTGATAGAATGCATTCTAATTAGATTTCTAAATATAGTATCTGATCAATGTATAAAACAGCCTTTAGCAAAAAGTTGAATTACTACCTTCGGAGTTCAACAGCTCGTCGTATTCTTTCCAATCGAACCATGTGTTCTCGAAATCTCTGTTCCTTCATCTTTTCAAAAGGCAAGATATCCTTTCTACCCCTGTATTCCCTGAATTTCACTTTATCTTGAATAATACGCTCTTTGTTCCTCAATATCTGTGGCTATAGATAGAGATTACAATGGTTATTTCAGAAGTCTCATTCATTTAGGGAGATTTCTGGATGCTATGTTCAAGTACCATTAACTACTTAGCTATCCCAAAGCATACAAAGCTTCTAAGCTTAACAGTTTGTAATAGTTTATTGGCACTTCAGTAAAAATATCAACTGTAAGGTAGCATCAAATCAGATAAGGATTGCATCAAATCTATAGATACTTACTTTATCAAACCTTCCCCTTCTAACTGTCCTAGTGTGGCCTTGGTCTCCTTTTGTTTGGTCTAATACTACAACTTGACCTGGGCTTTTACCACCTAGTGAAGGGGGGGGGAAAGAGGAGGGGAAAAAAAGAAAAAAGAAAAAGATTTAAAAACCACACACATAACCCTATTTGCCTATTACAGATTTTTCTTGGTCAAATTTCTAAATCTCTACAGTGAACTGTTACTGGTAGAAGCAGTGTATCACCACATGTCTACAATTAAGTAGTAATATAAAATATGGAATCTTTAACATCAGCTCTAAAGTAATACATGTTACTGGTGTCAAAAAAAACAAACCAAAACCAAACCACCCCAGGTGTTTAATTGTACAGTTTACAGTAAGAGCAAGAACATGTCCCCAAAACAAGTCAGATACACAGATTCAACAGGAGGAAATGACTATATTGCATACTTATTCTTTTCTTTTCTTCAGTTTTTTTAGTGGATTCTTGATTAGGGCCACTTGCTCCATTATCACTCTTCTCATCTTTGCCTTCTGTTTTCTTGGCTTCTTTACTTTCTTTTTTTTCAGATTTCTCAGATTTCTTTTCTTCTTTTTTGGTTGATGGAGTTCTTGTTAGGGGGAAAAAAACCAAAACCAAACACATGAATGCAATGAGGAAAATTCAACTTAAATTATTTTCACAACCTCAGAAGACGTGAAATTTCTTACTTGCTGGCTTTATCACTTGATGCAGTCTTCTTATCTCCTGTGCTTCTACCTGAACCAGATTTCTCATCACTTTCCTTCTTCAACTCCTTTTTGGAGGGATCGCCTTTCACCTATTTTTTTTTTCCAAAAGCAAATAGGTTAATACAGATTCTTGCATAAGATGGTCTATTTTTTGGAATAGTTTTAATATTATTAAACCTACTTTCTCAACAGAAATTTGTTGTCCATGGAGCTCTGTTCGATGAAGGTGTGCAATACATCTAGCCACTTCTGTACTAGAAGACATTGTTACTATGCCGTAACATTTTGCCCCTGGGCTTCGTGCGTTTGTGACCACCTTTGCACCAAGCACCTACATAAACAGGTAGAATTTAAGTTTTGAGAGAGACATTTCTAGTAAGGAACTGATGGTATTCCAGTAATATTTTTACCCTAGTATATGAAAACCAAAACAAAACTACCCCAACAGCAACAACAAAAAAACCACCCCACTAGAAAGACTGACACACTCAAGTTTTCAAAAGCATTTAATTCCACAGGAAGTTGCAGCTTTGAGAACTTCATCCCAACTTTCACATCAATGCACATTAACGCTTACATCTTGTTTTGACCAGTCACAACCTCATGCAGATTTATCTAAATGCTTCTTTTGACAGTTACAGTCAAAATTCGTTCACAGAAACACAACTGATCTGAATTTGATGGTTCATCTCTGACAGATGAACCCCCACAAAAAAGTCAACAGCTGCCAATTAATGGTAGGAAGGCATAAGCAGTATTATGTAGTAACTTAATAAGGGAGCCAATTCCTCAAAGCCATCTAGCAAATGTGTCAATTAAGTAATTTTAGCAACCAGCTCTTTGACAACTGCTTCTTGAAAAAGCATTAAGCTTTGTGTTCCTGCTCCTTGCTAGAATTTCTACAACTACTGGGGCCAGTCTTGTTGATGTAGTCATGCTCAAACGCAACAATTTTATCTTTCTAGCAGCCTGTAATGGTACAGCCATTTAGAAATTAAATATTTCCCAATTAATTTAAAACTGGGAAGCCAAGTAAATACTGGTACCAAGCACCTATACAGTAAAAATAGACAAAGAATTGGAAGTTTTAACAAAATATACTCTCAGGTTTCAACACTTGTGAAGGCATTAAATAAAATCACCTACTAAATCCATTAGAAAAACCAGATACCCAATAATCAGCACACACACTTGATACTCACAGTGCTAAGGTTCTAACTAGTTCCCAAGATGCAATAACATCATAACTGCACAGGCTTATACAAACACTATGAATTCACACAATTATCAGCAACTCCTTTGAGAAAGTGAGAACAACTGCAACAAAAACTGTTTTCAGAAGACTGCTTAACTTAGAACAACGCAGAATCCATCTATGTAATTTGTATGTTAAATTAAACCAAAATCCAGGAAAACAGACTTAGTTTAAGCAGCCTGTAAAAAAAATGTATTAAATCTTAAGAGTCCCTAAAAGAACAGACATTAGCTGTCACATTTTTTTACCTATTTTTCCCATTCATAAGCCCTCAGAACAGTCTCCCAAAGCAGCAGGTTCTATAAAGACTGTCTATATTACACTTTTACCGGTTAGCACATTATCTCACATTCATGGTTAAATACAGTTGCTGCAGAAGAACATAGCCACCATTATGTAATTAAAAAAAAAATTTTTAGAGCCAGTCCTGATCAGTCATATTTATGACATTTCTTTCGCACCTATCTTACCTCAAGAGGAAGAAAACATTCTTACAAAATTAAGATACGGTTCTTCCTGTAAGCATGCTCTCTTACTGAAAATCCTAGGGTTTTTTAGATTACACTGGTTAGACATTTCATCTCAGACTTTTATTTAAATCAAGTATTACTCAATTTCTGTAACTGAATAGAGGAGGGGGAAAAGACACACACGACACACATGGTACCACACCCCACAAAATACCTTTCCATATTTGCCAAAGAGGTTTTTCAAGTCTGCAGCTTTTGTGTTGGAAGACAGTCCGCTAACCCACAGGTTTCTGGTTGAACTTCCACTGCTACCACTAACACTGCTTGCACTTCCTGAAACAAGTTTTACAAAACAGCCAAAAAATTAAGGAGACAAAGGTACCATGCATATTGAACTAAACTGTTGCTGAAAAGAGAAACTTAGCCTGTTACCTTTAAGTAACTGTTTATCCGGTTACCTTTCTTGAAAAGACTTCTATATAAAAAAACATATATGCCATAAGATTTCATTCATTTACCCATGTATTGAGACCAACAGCTTGGCTAACTCACACCCAAACGACAGAGCTAGAAAAATCATACAATTCTTTGTTAAAGGTATGCTTTAGCCGTCATTTGGCTTCAACTTCTGATTCTTATCAGTAACTTCCATCCAAGAACAATTTTTTTAGCACCCAAAGTTTGTTCTTCATCCGTACATCTTTGCACTACTCATATCACCAAAAAGGTGGCAGAAAGGTAAATAAAGGAGACTCAGTTAATCCTAGCCTCCAGAATAATGTGGTCAATTTCCACAACTGCCCTCCACCCAGAGCAGCTTTTTAAAAATACTGCCGGATGTAGAACTGGATGCAACCCACCAAAATTATTTCCTGCATACTAAGGAAAATACTAAAGAAAAGCCTTAAGTGCCTTAAACACCAGTACATCCCTCCCCCCTTATATTAGCCATTTTGCAACAACACAGAACTAAGAGCTAAAGACATTCATGTGACTTTATTCCCAACATCTTTTAGTCTTATATTATTTAGTTCAGCTTGTTGTTGCTTGCTGCTAAATGTATGAACTGCTTTTCAGTATGTTAAGATGTAGCCAGCCATACAACCAAGACCAGAACTGGTTCTCCAGCTAAACATTTGGAAAACCTGGTGGTATACAGAGTTTTAAAAGGTAATTTAACCACCTTGAGGAAAAAGGGTAGTTTTCCTTCTTCAATGCATCAAGATTAAGTAAGAGCATAAGGCAACAAAACTCAGTTATCTTCAAACTAGGAGTATCTTGATAAGCCTAGATATCTGGACAAACCATGATACGCTTAGAATATCATTAAAGAGCCACTATACAGGCTTTGGCCGTGTATTTTAAGACAGCCTTACAATAGTTACTATTACAGTTACCATATACGCTACATGAAAGTGGATTTTCTGTATCTTCATTTAATTTAATTGTAAGCATATAACTGTCATGAAAAGACATGTATCTACAGAAGATTGAATTATGTCCATCACAAAAATTTCTCCTCAGAAATGAATTTATCAGGTAAAGTTCCATTCATCCATTAGTGATACGCATGGGGGATTCTGTGACAAAGGTTTTTGGCAGAGAGCTAGTGGGCAAAACAAGGAGACACGTGAGCTTACATACACATACAAATGCATTTGTTCAACTATGAATCATCAGTATAACTGGTGACATTAACATGCTTTTGAGCTCCGCTCTGCAAATTTGTAATCATAATACAGGGTTTTATGGTAACAGATGGAAACTCTAATGTAGACAAATAGGTCCAACTTTAATGCACTAAACAGCCACAAGTGCAATTTTGCTAGCTGGCATCTCAGCTGTTATACTTGGTTGAGAGTTCACTTTATTTAAAAATGAGCTAGAATTAAAAACAAGACCAAAAAATTCATCGGCACTTGCAATTATTTTTTGCTTGTTCTACACATAACATGAACCCAAATCACTGTATGTAACTTACATTAGGCATATCTGAAAATTGCACCTTCTCATCAAAACAAAGACTTGGGAAACATTAAGTGGAATTTGCTCCCAAAAGTGTTATGAAATAGGAGAATATGTTTACGTTGAGTCTTTAGAAAAGTATTTTTGATCTTATGAGGAATCTGGCATAAAGAGAAAAAATATATAGAAACATACATACAGCTAATGACAATATTAGCCTAATTTGTAATAGTTACCTTTATCATCCTTTGATGTTGTCTTGCTTTCTTTAGATTCCTTAGTAGAGCTGGAGAAGCAAATTAAACATCAGAAGAAAATTGAAAATAGAGAATTTGATAAGTGTTGCATTTTATACTACTAATACTAACAGACAAGTTAACATTTCAAAAAATAAAAATGAAAAAGGGCTAGACTGTATATTTGAACAAATGATTCCCTTATGGATTCTTGCACTGATTTTCCCCAAGATGCCTGAAGATCTAGATTTTCTGACAACTCTATTCAGTGGCAATCTTCTCCAGATTTCAGGACGGGGACTTGACTTCATTTTGTGTTCTTAGAACTGATAGCTGTTCATTACCATCATCACAAGGACATTTAAAAAAATCGTCAATTTGAAAAAAATAAATAAATGCTGACAATTCGACAATGCAATCAGTAGGACATAGTGTCTATACGAAGATCTTGAATTTTAAAAAATAACTTATGGCGGTCAAAAAAAATCTATAGGCAGGAGCATAGGATACTAATTATAAGATTCTTGCTGCTACCCCCTTAATGTAGAGTGATCTTATTGAATGCTGGTACTCAGTATCGTAAAGAACTGACATAGAAAAACAAACCTCTTTGCTTGACCAGAGGCCCCAGTAGACGAGGGACCTTTCTTCAAAGTATCCTTTTCTTTGTCTCCAGATTCTGCTTTCTTTGAACTTTCTCTGGCTTCCTTCTTGACAGGATCACCCTTCACGCAGTCTTCCTTCTTACCATCTTTATGGTTCTCAGTCATCTCATAGTCCTTGCTTTCCTTCTCCAGGCTCTGTGAAATGGTATCCTGCCCATCCTTTGGCTTACTTGCTTCAGAATCTGTAATTTTCACATTTTTACCTGTTTCTAGGAGGTCATCACCATCAAAATCCAGAGTGATGGCATCTTCAGCCTGGATTGTAACCGATATGTTATCATCCTCAGCTTCTTTCACAGAGGTGTTAGCTTCCATCTCTTCATGAGCCGTGTGATCAGCCTCAGCTAGGCTTTCTTCTGAAGGAAGAGGTTTAGATACTTCTTGTGTACCATCACCAGAACCTGCTTTATCTAAGAGGATTTAACAGGAATAAATATGGCAAAACAAGAAGTTTAAACAATTTCATATGCATAAAGCTAGAATAGGACCTAGAAAATACAAAGCCAGTTATTAGCACTGATGGAAGGTTAGAAAAAAACACAAGGTGTATTAACACAAATATAAATCCTTTACCCAGGATCACTCATTCTTCATGGCAAAACACATTCTCTAGAGACAAATACCAAAACATTAGGAGGGAGAATATGGTTCCATCCTGGAGATACCCGTTCTTCATAAGAAGTATCCATTTTCCAGTTTAGAATTTAACGTTCCAGAAGAAAATTGTTGCTTTGGACGCTCACAGTTTGATTTAATCTGTCTTTGAATCTTCCTGGGTTTAGGACTTCTAACCTTCCCAGATCCGAAAGGATTACAGTCTTGGAGAATTTCAGTCAGTCTTCCACGCTGGCGTTCTCTTTTGCTTTTCCTTTCTAAGCAGTTGTTTGGCAGTCAAGTTAGCTGTATAAGGCTGCTGCAGAAAATGGAGGAGCGAGCTTTAATCCAGAGTTCGTAGACAAACGGTTCTCAGTCTTCATCCACTGGACAGATTTTCCGTCTCAGTCCACACAGACATCTCCAACCGTATTCTTGCATTTGCACAGATGAGACACTTCAACCACAGGGTCCCTCGTAAACATGGAGTCTGTAGTTTTATCCTGTAACTTCAGTAATGTATTTATTCCACCTTGTGTAAAGTGATGGTGTTCCACGTCCTTTCTAGTCCACAATATGTAGAATCCTTAAGACTTCTGTCCAGGAAGTCTGTTTGCCCAAATGCATTACATTCCTTCCATAGTTTCACTAATGAGCACAGCTTAAAAAAAAGGTAGCCACTCCACAGGTTTCCAAACACTTGTTTTACCATCCTATATACAACTAAGTGACAGTAAACCAAGCATATGATGGTCCATACATTTGTTGGGTGCTCAAGTTCAGTATAAGGGTGTATTATTTCACTCAGTTAAACATCAGTTACTGCAGTGCAAGTTGGAAGCTTTTGCATCAAGACTTACCGTATATTAAAATCAGAGTCCTTGAATACTATGGTTTTTTCGTTAAGAATCATAGTATTACAACTGTATTATACATCCACCACAGTAACTGATTAAGTACTGTAATCGACTCTTAAGAGTAAAATAACTCTTAGGAGTGAAATAAACCCACTGACTGCAATCATTCCAGGTGCTGAGCTTTATAAGAAGACAATTGATATTTAGTACTGGAGACAAGTCTAGTATTAGTAAAGATATTGAGTGTTACAAGAGAATAGTCGCCTGCTCTACCAGACTAAAGAGCTGTGAACTTTAAACATACCTTTCTCAGTTTCTTCATCTTCACCATCCTGCAAGAAAAGGAAGTCAAGACTAAGTGTCTCCTACTTTAAAACTTTAAGCAGAACAGTTCATATTTTCCACAGAATTTCTGTTTAATGAACTGAAAACTATTTCGAAAGAAAAGATGATCTAGAAACCAAGCCTGTGCACCTCCCTCGTCAAATCACTGAGAATCTGTACAAAATTTCACTGGTATCTATCTGCAACACTTGAAGTTTGCAATTGGTTGGAACACACAGCTATTTTCTGCCCACCCTCCCCCCCCAACTCAACAGGACATTTCTAAACTGTCCCATGTTTTGCTAAAGCTTTCAGAATGGATATCACACTGCTGAATTACTACTTTGAAATGCAAACAATCCATCATTAGCTTTAAAAGCTTAAGACAGAAGTCAGAAACTAGGGACACTTCCTCCACTAAGTACTCAAAAATGAAACTACAATTTTAATAGGTATTTACTTATTTATCATTAACCTCACTGAGCAAGGCATGCTGTATGAGATGTCCCTTTTCAGGCATCAATTCCATGTAACTCGAAAACAACAAAACAACCCAGTCCCAAACAATCAACACCCCTCCCACCCCCGCCACACCAAACATTCTCCAAAGGCAAATTTCTATATTAAAACAGGAGCCCTGAACTCCTGTGTAGGCTGTATATACACTATGTTAGCATTTAGCATAGCCCTCTGAAGTGTTTTTAAGAGAGTTTGAAAAATATTCCTTGCTAAGTCTATGCACTGAATACTCTCAAACTGCAGACAGGAATTTAAATAGGACACCTTATTTGGAAATCACAATTATCTGCATTATAAAAAAGTGTGAATGAAAGCTTCCCATACTGTTTATCTTTACTGTATTACATCATCTGACGCTCTCAGATGCACGCTGGAACAAAAATCCAGTCTAAAGTGATCTTTTCCAACTAAATAGGCATGCAAATCAGCTTAACAGAACTGATTTGGAACTTACATGGACAGTTGGAAAAACGTAATCTTCTATGTCCTGACCTTCATTTTCCTATGAGAATATAAAAGGGGCTTTCTCAGCAAACTATTTTTTAAAGACAAACATTCAGAGAGTCAAGAGATTCAGTTAACTCAGAAACCATTTTAGTGAAGTGGATACACACTCAGTAAGGTGAACATCAATGAGCAGTTCTCATGACTTGCATCTTTCAGTTCAGTGTTCAGATTATGCATGTCACTGCTAGTACTAGGGAAAATGACCACTTGGGAACTCTATATGGACTGTGGTAGAATTTTATCAATCAATGCCACATTTGTATCAGGACTATTCAAACACAAGTCAAGGAAAACAGAAAGAAAAAAGTAGAAAATTATCTTTTAGAGATACGCAAGCAAGACAAACTGAAAAACTAGTTCTGACTTCCTAGTAATACAGGCACACTAAGGAAAATGTACATTTTGCTGATAAAAATACAAAGTACCTGACTTTCAGAATCCTTTTCTGCATCTTCTGTTGTCTCTGCTGTCTCCAGGTCATGGTATCTTTTCTTTTCTGCAGATGGTAGTTCTTTAGAATTCAAGTTCTCATCTTCAACAGATTCTTTGAAGTCCTTCAATTCATCATTTCCGTCTTGATCACTTGCATCTTGAGTCTCCAATTCACTTTCCTTTTATTGTGAACAACAAATATTTGGCATCACTAAGGATATTAGCTATATTCTGAAAAAAAAAATCACTGCTACAATCACTATTTCTGCAAAATACTGTATCGCATCCATAATAAAAATTCACAGCATGTTTAAAAAAACCCACACCTTCACACCCTTAGGCATCACAGCTGTGAACACAGTAAAAACAATGCTCCAAATTTCCATATAAATTAGCGTGAAGAAAATGGAAGCTTTTTTTTATAAATAAAGCCAAACATTGAACTTAAATATAAACTGGGAAAAAAATTTACATACTTTTATTACCTTGACAAAGGAATCCTCTTCAACTGAAGCATCACCAGTTAATTCATCAGCTTCCTGCTTTTTACCTGAAAGGACAGGATATGCTAATGACTAGAGCTGCCACGTAGAGCAGACATTCTTTCAGTACGTGATTATGTTTTGGGCCTTAATTTATTATATGCTCTATGCTGACGTGTTCACTATAATATAACCCTCCCCAAATTGAGTATTTTTAAGGTAAGAAGAAAAAATGTCAGCTGAGTGAGCATGAACCATCAATGCTGTTGCATAAACAAGCAGTTACATCCAAGTTAGTGATTTTAATACCAATCCTTCTACTTTGAGTGATAATGGAATTCAGGAGCACATTAAAGTGTATGTTTGTAGAATTACTGGACTTAACTAGACTTTGTGACTTAAGACTTTGGAAAGGCCTTACTTTATAGGATAATTAGCATCACTGAGCAATTTAGGTTAGAAGGAACCTCTAAAGGTCGTCTAGTCCACCCAACTTCCTGCCTGAAAGTAGAGCTAAGTTCCAAGTATGATAGGATTGCTCAGGGTTTTATCTAGCTGTGGTTTTGACTATCCACAAGAATGGCAATCACACAGCCTCTCCAAGCCACCTTTTTCAGTCCTTTTCATCCCTAGAGGGAACAATCAGCAGAAGAATTGAGTCAGGTAAAACACTAGGGTTTTCTACATATTTTTTTACTGTACTAAGGGCAGGCTCTATTGAAGAATTCTGTTCTTCCAGCACACACACACTTTTCTCTAATAAAGATGGCTCTGTAGAGAAGACAACTACACACAGTTCCCTTTGGAACCCATTGCATTTCCTTAATCTTCTGCAAAAACAAGACCAAAGAACACTAGATATAAATACCTCCACACACACCTCCCCTTTGTAGAACATTCTGTCTCTCTGATTCATTCTATCAAAGATTAGCCATTGCGATGGTTTTCAGTAGCTTAAGGTACAAAAGCAGTTCTGTTAGGAAGCAGCTTTACTATCTCCTACTGATACTGTGTCAATTCAAGATGCAAATGAGATGGCAGTCACGATCAGCACTTAATGCTTTATGTTTTGACATGACCTCTTCTCTCCTCCCTTCATTCTCTAATGAATGGCTAAATGAATTCTACAGATGTTCAAAAGGAACAGAAAAATGTAAGCCAAAGTTTGATACAGGACGAACACTTCTGCTACATGGAATAGTCAATTTTTGTCAGCAACTAATTTCCATAGTCTTTCATACACAGTTCTTAAATTGCATTTCAAAGCTGGAAACTGCTCAACTGCAGGCCAAGAGAGACTACTGTTTTGGCGTTACTTAGATTCCAGTTGGTTTTACTCATTTCACTGAAAGGCAGCACTCTGACAGTACTCATGTACAGCACAGTGTTGTTTTGAGTTCAGATGCACACTAGTCTCCAGGAAAAGCACATGGCAGAAGTTATTTCTACGATTGCAAAACATGAGATCAAAACTTTCAGATCTAAATGGATAAAAGATCTTGCCACTGATTTTACTTCATCTAAAAGAAGAAAAAACATTCCTGTTTTATATTTGTAAGGCAATAGATTTGTGAGATTTTGGTGCAAAAAGCCAGCAGCACAGGTATGCTTAGGGAAGCTAGCTTTCCTCAGGAAGAGGAGTGCACTTACTCTGGAAAGGACAGGTTTTGATAGGCATCACAGCTGATGCCTGAAAGCAAGACTAACCCAAATTTTTTATTACTATTTTAGCACTCTGTGGCAGAATCTATAGCCACAGATATTTTTAACATAAATAAAAATAAGTGAGATTCAGCAAGGATTTCTACACACATTCAACTGTTTTCTGTTTTACTCCTCTCACCTTTCAGTTCTTTAGTTTGTTACACCTGAAAGTCCAAGTTTTTCCTGCATCCCATATCCAGCTAAGCATACACAGAGACAGGCAAACACACACAGCAGATGCTAGACACATTTAGCAACTACCTAGCATGTACTATCATGAAAGCTATTTAAATTAATTCATTTTGCCTGCGGAAATCTGGCAGGTGAACTAGAATGCAGTCTTTATAAGGGGGGGGGAAAAAAAAAAAAAAAAAAAAAAAGATTTGTCTACCTCAGGTTAGTTCCATCATTCTGCAACAGCAGCTAGAGAACTCTATTTTATTGACATGTCCTCATCAAGAAGTTATACCTTTCAGTAATGAAGCTGTCCCTATCTTTTCTTTGCTGCTAGGTTAAGCCAGACAGGAATACATGTTTTCATTAGCCTTTCCTTCAGTCTGTTTTTCTTTGCAGTTACTCCCATTTACTCTGAGAACCAGAGGTATTCCAAGGCATAAGGAGACCTGAACAATGACCTTCACTTTTCGGCTTCAAGCCAGAAAGTGGTAGGAAGTTTGCTTTCCCTCCCAGTTCTGTGTTTCAGGTTACTTTGGTCTGGTCAGAGTCACATTGCTCAAGAGTGGCACTTCAAGGTTCTGATACAGATACGTTTTCAGATGCTGGTAGAGTACTTGCCAAAAAGCAAGTGTCCACAAAAATTCAAAACTTTTCCACACTGATACTCATCCACTAAGCCAGCTTGCAACAAACAGCTTTCAGAAACTGTTTCCATGAACTTATTCAAGACTGGTATCACTCTGAGGAAAATAACTGGGATTAAAAGGTATGTTTACAATTACAGTCAGCACACTTGGACCTTCTGCAGACAACAGGCATAGCAGGTCTCAAGCCATACCAGTGGTCAACACATGATAAAATTTATGAACAGGTTTATCCATGCAGTGGCTATCGAAAATGTCAGTGGCATAAGCAGCGCTCACCACAAACCCAGGTACCTAACAACACAAATACTAATTTACCTTGGAATGATGGCACTCCTTTATAAACAATGCTCGATCCCTTTTCTGGCAATGGCAATTGCTACACACCATAAAACTGCAACAGACTATTTACAAAGAGAATGAGCATTCTCCTTAGAAGTAAGTAGATCTTTAAAATGTTGGTTTAACGTTATGCAAGTTTAGCTTTTTACAAGCCTTACAGTAGCATAAGCTTGCTCTACCTATTCACGGTCCTCTACATGAGAGATTCAGTTTAGCTGAGTGTATACAGAATTACAGAAGAGTGTATTTTAGACAGTCTTAAACAAACTAGACATCTGCATCTCATCTAGAAGCAGAGTAACACACATCATAAAATTCTGGAAGTGTGGGCATTTCTTCTGGTATTCCTGCTTAAACCCCCACCAGGGTTCTGTCATATCTGATGCTAAAGATTCATCAAAACATGGGACAGGAGGCAAAAAGGAGGAAGGGGAAAGAAAATCTTTAAAACAGAATAAACTCTTTATAGTGTTATTTAGTTAAATTGCAGCAGACATCTTAAATAGAATAATTTGCCACAATATTAATAAAATTAAATTGTCACATTTCTGTATTCCTAAACGGTATATGGTAACAAGAACATTTAAGTCTTCTACAGTGCCTGCGGGATGCTGCTCTTACTCATTTATGGTTTTTAGAAAGGATGTACTTTGCAAAGTCAGATACTCTCTAGAGAACCACCAACTTGTTCGTAAGATTTGCCATAATTTGTAATCATATGATTAAACATTCATAACACTTTTTAGTGCAGCTCATTAGAGATACTGCTCACCCCACCTTAATGAAATGACTTAGGAAGTATTTGGCAAGATTACTACTTCTATCTGAGAGCACACGAAAGCCTTACCTACAGTCTGTTTTACACCGTTTATCTCTCGCTTCAACAAGGCATGATATATTGTAATTTAAATGATGAAAACAACTCTCCAATATTGGAACCACCTATGCAAAGTGTTCCTAAGGTTCAGTCTGCATGTTATTTTTCAGGTGTTCATTACAACTTACAGTATCATAAATTTCTATCATCAATACTGAGTTCAGGTATTTTAGCTTAAGAATTCCCTCCCTCCAGAGAAAGATTCTTTCTTACACATCATCTACTCATTAACATGCAAGAAGAAAACTCTAGTTTAAAAGGAATGTTCTCTCTACAAATAACTTGCATACATCTTTCCTCAAAAGAGGAGAATATTCACTCTCTTTATAATGTACTCTATCTTGAGTAAAACACTTCAGAAAGAGTAGGGTGTCAACAACTGGTTTAATCTTGACAGAAATACTTAAAAGTTTTCAGGGATATATAGAGTAGTCGAACACCACCGGAGAGATACCTAGAAATAATAATAAATTAAGAAACCTACTTTGTGAGTCAATTAAGACAGACATGCCTTGTAACTTCAAGAGGCCTAATTAGCTGTGCAACAGCACTGTGTGCAAGGGCAACCGCCCAAAGAACATTTGGAGAAGTCACTTTTCAATCTTTACTATTTCATTCAGCAACTGCAAGGCAGACCCAGCCACTGAGAAGAAGCAACAAAGAAGCTATCTGCTTGCCTTAAAAAAACAAAAGAATTTTAAGAAGCAGGTCAAAGCTGAGCAAGAAGACTGATTTAGAAAATTCATCTGAAAAAAAATTTATTTGGAAAAAATTGAAAATTCAGGTTATGCAAGATTAAAGTTAAGGCATTTGTACTTGTACACCACTAAGCATGTCATATGTGTAACATGGCCATAAGACACCTATTTTCAGTGCAGCTGGGAATCCCTATCTTTCTCCAGCAATGATTCACTGGGCAGGAAAACTCTGATCTACCTCTGGACAAGCTCGCTGCACAGCATTTCAGAAACGAAATCACAGAACTATAGTTCTGGATGTTAACAACTCAGAAGAAGAAATAATGAACTGACAGTTGGTTAAAATAGTTATTTTAATATTCCTGAAGGACAGATGACATCATGACAGATTATTTCCCTCCCTCCACTCTCCTTTTGAAGGCCAGTGTACAACTTTAGTTTAGGGATTTTTTTTTTTAAGTAACTAAACAGTTTTAATAAAAAAGTCAAAAATTTTTGGGCAATAGCAGAAGTCAGCCACTGTCAGTTGACAGCATTTGTTCTCAGAAAATAGTACTAACAAATCGGAAATTCAGCCAGAAACTAGAGGGTTACTTAAGACATGAAGTAATAGGTGTCTAACTGGCCTTAGAAACTTCAAGAGCAGCAAAGAAACATCTTAGCTCACATTAATACTCTGAGGTTATAACTGATCAGCCTAAAATCTGTTCTTAATCCACACTAATTCCATAACTTGGCAGAAAAGTAACTTTCAATCACCAAGTTATGATGTATCAATATGCTACAATATTTTTGACCGCAGATACTTCAAAGGAATGTTCACATCAGAAACGTTTGAAAAATATTTCATACCAGCAGTAAAGTAACTTCCTTTAGATACCAGAATAAGCAGCAGAATGTTCAGGCTTGAAAAGAACAGCTTTTTCCAAACACTGTCATCTTTTTACAGAACGAGAAATTTGGCCATAGCTACTAAATTCCAGGGTAGAGAGGCACAGCTGAGGCAATTAAAGATGGAGCATTTGGTGTTTGTTCTACCTTTAAGCTTTCAAACTTTAATTATCAAAACCAACTGATCTTACCTGTACAGCTCTACGGATCAGCTGTTCTAGAGTTCTTCTTTACCCCAAGTCTTAATTAAATTAGCTTCTGGAAAGCATTAGATTTTTACTAACTTTGCATACAGGATTGATAGAGGATTCTTGTTGGATTACGGAATCCTTCTGCAAGTGTTCTTTAAGTCATGATGCATAATCCTCCAATTATATACTTCCCTGATGAAAATCCACATGGCTCCTTCTATGTTATCTCTATTTTGGGCAAGTCAGAAAATGCCCTATTTTAAATATGACTCCTTTTTCATGCAGTATCTTATGCTGCAGAACTCCGTAAGGGACACTGGCAAGCTGCTGTTTATTTTAAGAGAGAAAGAAAGTCTACATCAAAACCAGTTTAGTCAAGGCCTTATTCTGCTAGTCATAGTGTTTTACAGATGTTTCTTTCCTACCTCATAGCAAGCTGGCTTGTATCATCATCAAAAGCTTGTCACAGTCCAGTAAAAAACTGCAGTATATCAATTGATAAATCAATTTATCAGGTCATTATAAAATCCTGTTCTATGAAAGTAAGTCCTGCTCTTAGCCTCATTCCTATTCTCCATTTTTTGTCAACGTACACACAAAAAAGGCAATGAGATGGAAAATAAATATATCACACTATTGCCCCTCTAATTCAGCCTGCATCCATATTCAAGTTTTTCTAACAGGCAGTGCTAGGGAATTAGACAACTTATTTCCACAGACCTTAAGAGCTGCAGTAAAACTGGCTACAAAAGGCATTCAGATCTAAAACCAATAGCCATCTGACGCAGTTTGTGTTTTTTCAGAAAGGAAACCTCCTGCCTCCCTCCCATTCACCTCTCTCTGGCTGCTGTGAGGAGGTTTATTCATTACTCCCACACCCTGGCCTTTTCCAAGGTTGTATTTTCTTCATAAACGAATATCCAATATTCTTGCCCTCTTCTGTACAGCAATAATAGCATGGGAAAAAAAAAACAACTTATAGGATTAGTAGTGCCATTAATTTTACTGCTGGACAGCAGTAAAATAATTAGAGGCCCATTAGTATTAGTCTGAAGCTGGGGGAAGCAAGCATTAGCAAATGGCCTAGAGCAATCTGTCAGCAAAATCAGTAAAAGAGGCAACACTACTCATAGTGAAGAGCATGTACAAGCACAAGGGGGATCACGAAAATTCAGTCCTACTGAGTTCGGTTGATGGGCATGCATCTCCCACAAGCCTTTGAAAGTTTTCTAGTGACACATTAGGGAATGGATTTTTGACGTGCTAGATTTCCAAGTTTTGAGGGATACTTTCTGGTTACCAATAACATATTTCAACAGAAAGCACCAGAGAGATAGAAAACATCAGAATCAGCAGCTAACACATACAAGGAATAGTTAAAAAGAATTCTTTCTTGCACTTAGAAGTAAACCAGTAAGATAAAAAAAGATCTTCCGTGGACGAATTAGTTTTTCTTGTTCCACACTTATAGATGAATACAGCATGAACCTCTCATACTTTTGGCACCAAATTTGCTCCTAAGACTTCTGTAATCCAAAAAGCAATGAGGAAAAATTCTTGAGCTTGCAAAGTGAGCAGATAAGAACTTCATGAAGGTCGCATTTTACTCTGAGGTTTACCAAGAACGTACATGTCAAACATAGACCTTATGATTCAACTCCACAGAAGAGGTGGCAGGGAACAGCTACCAAAGCCCTGCCTCAGAAAGCAGCGTCACTTGTAGACAAACTACTTTTGCAGAAGCAAAATAGTATAACTAAACAAGAAGCCGGTTCAAGATCATTATGCACATCATGGTAATAGTTTGAAGAACAGAAGGATGAAAAGCAACAGGTAAGAGAAGTGTTCATCACAGCAGAACAAGCAGCCATTTAGATCTCTACATGAAAAATTGTGGAAGCATTTTCTTATTTAGCTTCCATGTAATTTTCTCAAATATCAATTACCTTTCCAGAGTAGGGAATAAAGTAATATCACAGAAGAAAATGAAACCACATTGTGAAACATGTTATTTCCTTTCACTTTTCTAGTATCAAAAGTACAGATAAGTTATTCAAACTTTCTAAGCAGATAGATTTTATTACTAAATTCCCCATTCACAGCACCAGAAAAAAAGCATGAATAATCACTTCCACCACAAAATTCAGCCTAAGACAAGTGACAGGGGTGTAAGATTGATAATTTCCAAAACAGGTATCTATAGCACATATATGAACATTCTTAGCACGTATGTTAAATGAAGAATGCTATGCATAAAACAGACATTTCCTTTCCCAGTCTTACTTGATGATGGATGCTCCCAGAACAACAGAAAACAAAATCCCCCAGAACCCAAACTCACAAAACAATATTTAAACACTTACGCAAAAGAAAACAGAGCCAACACAATCACTGCCACACAGATTAGTATAGAATCTAAATAATTATTTTTCACAACAGAAAAACTAAAATCTCTTAATTAGACATTTCACAGTGAGCCTTCAAAGCCCATTCAGGAAATTCATATTTATAAATCCTGTCTTCATTAAAAAGTACACTAATAAACCCACACACCACAGTCCTCTTCAGGCAGTGACCCCCTACCACATATTATTGCATACTCATCACTAGCCTAGGTCCAGCACCTCATGGCTAAACAGCCTCTTAGTTCTCCCTTTGCTGTTGCACAGATACTCTCAGATACTACAGAGATACCCATCCCCAGCACCAGAGCCACACAGAAGTTCCTATACCCGCTTTGCACCTCTAACACTCCCTGTTCAGGATCTCTGTTAACACAGCATATTCCAAAAAATCTCACAGATCATCTACACAGCCTCAGCATACGCAGCACAAGTCTCCAGAATCTGTGGGCAGTACAGCTACTACCTCATAACACATCTCTTAACCCACCCATTTTCCATATATATCCAGCATCCCTATACATTGCCTATATACAGTGACTGAAAACAGATGAGTAAGGCAAAAGATGTCTTACATGACAGAATTCATAAACAGTCAAGTCACAACTGTATGCAAACTACAGGCCACAGTTCCATGCTCCTTCTTTAAGGTGATATATATATATGCACAACAAAAACTACTTAAGAATATAACGTATATCAATAGATCTTAACCTTTGCCTTTAGTTGGTTTCTTGGTGGGTGTGTCAGCTGAAACAGTTATTTCAATATTATCTGGATCACCTCCTTCCTCTTCAATAGCCTAAGAGAAACAAAAAATATAATTTTTAATGGATTTCAGTAGGAAGTTAGACAGTTTGACTTCAGCAAAAGTGAGTGAGTCAAACAATTATTTTTCTTCTATCTCAAAAATAAAAACTGGGTTACAACTTTCACTTAAAGCTGGAGGAGACAGAGGGAATGCTAACGATAATGGCAAGAGTTTAAGGTATTAAAACGACATTTTCAAAGTACAGTTTATCGAGGGTCACCACGTACCTCTTTGGAAACATAACACTAGAAGGCCACTACGACATCCACGATGACATTAAGGGCAGCACAAATACAGTAGGGAGCGAAGCGCAGAAACCCTACAGCAACAACCGGCACCGGCGCTCCCTCCAGCGCCCGGGGCGGCGGGCGGCCCGCAAGGCCCGGGGGCGAGCTCCACCGTC